CGTCACCTGTGGACACGGACAGCGCATCACGCCCGCCCCGGCCGGCCGCCCCGCCCCGCCCCGCCCTGCCCTGGCCGGCCGGCCGTACCCGGTGCGCGCGGAAGGCCTGTACCACGTGCCGGTAGGCCGCCATATCGCGGGAGTGCCGCTCAGCGCAAGCGCTGACGTAGCGCAGCTCGCGCAGGAGCCCGCGGAATGTGGCGAGTGGGGAACCCAGCGCCGCCATGGCCGCGCCGCCAGGAAAAGCAGCGGAGCGCCGAGACAGCCCCGCCACGCAGGCATCGGTAGCCGAGCACCGAGCGCGTGCGGGAGCGGAGACGGGGGGTGGAGGCTTGGCCTAGGCTGCAGAGCGCTGAGTTCCGAGAGCGCTAGGGCGCGGTGTCGAGCGCCGAGCGTGTGGGAGCGCGTGGGCCCCAGCCTCGCTCCGGCCGCGGTCGCCCCCGCGCGGCTTGGGGGGCCAGTGCCTGCAGCGAGGGCTGGGAAAGGCGGATGCGGGTGGAGCGGACGTCCTGCGGGTGTCGCTGTGGGGATCTAGGTCGGGGAAGCGCCGCCATGTGACTCGACCACTTAAAGGGCAGAGCTAAGCCCTCTCGCGGGACAGACTGAGGGCTAGGGGTAAAGGCAGGGCTGCAAGAGCTACAAGGGAGAGGGGAAGATAGGAAAGGAAGGGAAGAGAGGAAAAAAAAAAAAAGGCAACTCACCCCAGATGGGACTCGAACCCACAATCCCTGGCTTAGGAGGCCAATGCCTTATCCATTAGGCCACTGGGGCTGCCGCATAAACTTTGCCTCTGATTCCTTATTTGTGCTCATGCCCCCGCCTCTAGCTTCACCCCGTGACTGAGTTTGTAAGGTCGCTGATTGGCTGATGGCCAAAGAACGCGCGTGGCCTCCTGGGACCGCGCAGGCGCAGTGCGCCCGGGCTCACCGCCAGGCTCTGGGCGGCGGCGCACAGGGTGTTGCGCGCAGGTGTGTTGTGTGGTCCCGGGCCTGCGAGCGGGCGGCCTCTGTGCCTCTCGCCGGCAGCCTAGTGGGATTTAGCTACCTCCAGGGCCGGTGGGCGGGGAGGCCCACCCCACTTCACAGCTTCCTCATAAATAACCACTCAGCCCCCACAGTCGAGGACTGTATTAAAATAGGACCAAGTGAAAAGTACTGGCACTAGAGGGAGGCAGAAGAGGACAATGGGAAAGTAATAGCAGACCTCATCTGATGGAGAGGGGTCCAGTACAGACTTTAAGGAGTAGACCCTCAGAAGGCAGTGGTGGTGGTGGTGGTGGTGGTGGGGGGGGGTAACAGGAGACAGGTACATGGACATGTGGTTGTGCAGTATGAGCTGTATAACAGGTTTTTAGTGTGCTTTAAGCTACCACGTTAACCAAAAGGACCACTTGTCAGTGTTGGAGATGGATATAGATATATCTATCAAGATATATCTATCTATTTTGTAAAATAACCCCCGCAAAAAACAGGCAGGTTGGCAGGGGCAGAGAACAAAGCACCCCATGCCATGTAGAAAGGGGGTGGTTCCTGTTCACCAGCTGACTACAACCAAGAGGTGGCTGGTGAAATGAGGTGGTGGGTTTAAACCTAGAAAGAGGAAGTGCTTTGTTAAGATGGGCAGATGCCAGAAGGGGATGGGAGCACAGCTCACCCAAGAAGGGTGCGGGGCCCAGGGCAAGTCAGCCCATGTGGGACCTCACCCCTGCTCCAATTCCCCCAGACCTAAAAAAAGCTGCCACCATTATTGGCAGCAGGGGAGAGGGGTAGCAAGCAGCTGGACACAGAGGTAGCTGGTTGGGTGCTGTTTCTGCATTGCATCGAAGGCCAGCGCAGACATAACCAATTCCTTGGGAAAAAGAAAACAGGGAAGGGAGGTCACAGGTTAATAAGGGATCCAGAAGGCAACAGTGAGCAGAAAATACTGCCTTCTCCCCCTGAACCAGTCGAGAGCCTGTAAGCAAAAGTGGCTCCTGGGCTAAATGGACCACTAATGTGACCCAGCCTGACACTGCCCACGTTCTTATCCAGGCAGAGGGACAAGCCTGAGCCTGGCTTATGCGCTTACCTCCTCAAACTTTGGAATTACCTTTCAAAGGGTCTGGGATGCTCCAGCTCCCCAGTTTAAAAAAAAAAAAGAAAATCACTGACCCAAGGGCTGGAGCTTTGAAGGAACTCAACTTGGAATGAAAACTATAGTAAGGAAGCTCAGATTAGACAATTTATATCTACCTTTATTATGCTGAGAAGTTATATGAAAACCACACAGACATGGCTAATATGTACATTCCTCTTTATTTAATACAGCACAGACACAGAACACATACAAAAAGAAAAAGTACACTCATGAAAGAGTCCTGTCACAATTAAGAACAGGAAATGTCTACGCTGAACTGAATAAGGCTCCTACTGTAGAACACAGGTCTGCTAGTTACACTTGGAATCTCAGAGCAAGTCTGTTGCCAGAAAATCTTTGCACCCCATTTATTAAAATATGGGGGGGAGGGAAGGGAGGGAAGAAAAATGAAAACAAACACACACCTTTCCTGAAATCTTGCAAGGTCAGTACAGTAAATCCACAAAGATCTATGAGAATGAACTTCTGCATATCTCTGCTCTATCTTTTTTTGATCAATGAAATTCTGATAAAGAGTAATTAAACAATTTTTTTCAGGTATTCTTGCAGAATGTCAGATACATGGATTTGTCCAGAACCAGACCTGGTGTGCAAAGTGCAGGACAGTCAACCTGAATATTTGGAAAGAAGTGAAGACATCAAGCATTAAAGCTCTCCAGCTTTACATCAGGAGTCTCCCTGGTGGATAGAACTTTGTCAGCCATGTCTGGGAATGCGGCGGGGAGGGGAGAGGGCAACAGGGACATGGGACACAGACTTTCCAGTAAAATGGCTAGCCTCTATTAAAAAAAAAGTGTCACAACAGTATATGGTGCATATGTTCAATATATGGTGCAAGCTTTTGTGGCAGCAGCTCCCTCATTTTCTTACTTTAGTTCACAATGGAAGTTAACCAGGCACCAGTTCCTCTGGCAAAGAGCCGTATGCTTTAAAATAAACTAAAATACAAAGAGGGAGGTGGGTGTATTTACAAAATCCATGGCTGGTACAGTACATCATTTTTAAGACACACTAAATGCTACAATCTTTCAGGTCCTGAGATTATTACAAAATGAAGAAAAAAATCAAAACTTGTAATTCAGGTCCAGTTTTATAAGGAGAGAAAAACCAATCAAAAAAGTCACTTGTTTAAAATACAGTATCCCTTCAAGTTAGTGGAATACAGCTCCCTAAAAACCCAAGCCAAAGTAATTTGTGCTAGTTACCAAAAAGTAGCTGTATTTGGTTATCCAGGTCCCTCCCCTTGAGAGCAGCTGTATATGCTTGTCACACGGGGAACATTATACAGTGGAGTAGTCTGGAGAGATCAAGTGAGCACATGGCTGTTTGGATTTTCTCCAGGTCACTAAGTCAAGGGTTCTTCGCCATGTTCTTAAATATGCAGGTAACAAAGGAACAAGGTGACCTCCTATGAATTCTTGCTAGGCAAAATGAAAATAAAAAATTAGAAAAAAAAAAGTAACTTATTTTAGCACATTTGCCACCTCATAGGAATTGGACATTCCCTTTCTTGACATTAAGGAGGACTACGCAGGATCTGAGTATTGGTTCAGTTTTGGTTTAGGAATTTAAGTTAGAGACAAAATAAGCACTTTGCCAATTTTTCATTTAAAACTTGACACCAACAGGCAGGAAGCAACCATGAAAAGGCCCCTTAAGTCCCTCACTTTATAGTGCTTCCTCCATTCTCAAGAGAACCAGTAAGCTAGCTACAATTCAGCTGGTTAACTTTCCAAAATTGGAAAAATGTGCATTTTATTGTGACAACAAATACAATGGATACTTCTGCTTAAACCCTTTCACTGGGAGGACTTGTTGCAAATGGATGTAAAAGCAGCTTTTAAGATTGGAAGCTCTGTTGTCGGAGCAAATCCCTTCACTAGGCAGTGGTAAAGGGGCCCAAATGTCTGTTTACAAGGAAGAGTTTTAGCACAGTGCTTTTTATCTTTCTACGCAAGTTATAAAATTATACAGATGCCCTCCTAAAGTAGGAATCTGCTTGATTAGTGGCCTAGAAAATGCCAGCATTCAAAGGGTGAATCCATGAAATGCATTCTAAACATCACCCTTGGGGGGGGGGAGACTAATTCAACTGCTAAAATACAACATTTCTCCGGAGACTTTTTGAAAGGGGACAGGAGTAATGTAGCTTGCTATTTTAAACCAAGAGCCCAAAGTATTTTAAAAACAGCTCCTATCTAAACCCAGCATAAAATCTTGAGAACATATGCAACATAACTGCACTGCTTGCTATAGCAAACTAGAAATACTAACTTTAAAACATGCTTGCTGTAGCAGTTGACTCCGAGCCAAACTGTTCTGCTGTAACAAGTACAACACAGGAGCTGATGAGAGAGAAACAGGGATCACTGTTCATCTTTTATTCAGGGAAGATGCCACTTATGGAGATCCAGCCACCCATTAGCTAAGATTGCTTGGTTAAAAACAGTCATCAAATTGGACATTGGACTTTCTTGAACCTGTTTCAGTTGCAAGGACATTTATTCCCCCAACCCCCAATGTAACTGGTATGTTAGACGTGCACTGCTGTGGCTTCTTGGTCCAGTTCTGCAGAGCTGAATATCATGCACCTATCTAAAAAGCTCTCAGGATCAAACCTGCCATCAATGAATAGGAGATTTTAGTCACCCTCCTAAAGCACTTTTCACGATAATTTTGACATTAGGCTTTGTACCAGTGAAAGGGTTTCTTTTTCCCCCTCCTTTTAAAATACAAAAGTTCATTCTTCATGTTGAAAAAAAAACAAACAAAAACCCAACCTTTTTAGTACAGACCTCAAAAAATATTATGCCACATTTCTTTGGGTAAACGTTTAACATTTGTTAATGGGACAGCAGGGACAGCAGTGTACATAATACTGGAACTTAGAAGAATACTTATATCTGCATAGTTGATATTAATGACTACTAATTGAACTAAGGCCTTATCTGGAAAAAGCTGAGAAACAAATTCCTTTTCCCCCCCAATTGGTGGAAACTAAATCAGTCCCAAAGAAGCTCTTGGTGTCTCACCAGCTGCTGGGTTTGACTCAGCTTGGTGGTACCTTCCAAGTTATTTTGTTTGGTTAACAGTCCTTCCCTTCTTGCACCTTTTTTTGGGCATGGGGCAGTTAGGAATACCCATCCAAGGTTGCTTTTGGAATATGCCTGCACATATCACAGAGTCAAAAGCCCTCAGTACTGAATGCTGTCAGAAGTTATTTGAAAGATAGTATACACTATTTGTTTTGGATTCTTTCACTAAGATTAGAAACTTACGATTAGCTTACTGCTCAACATGCTTGTGGTGGTGGTGGTGGTAAGGGAAAATGGGACTGAATTTCCATTCTAGAAACATAGAACACTTTTAAAAATCCCCTTTTCTAATGAGTTGCTCTATAGCTTTATACTTATTAGCTGGACACTAAAGTACAGATTTTGATGCCTGGCTACAGCCAAGAGCCAACACAGAACTAGTGTGGAGGGTATAAACACTACTGTAGAGCATGTTTGTGTGGTCCCCTGAACTCTGGGGCAGCTGCAAGACAGGCTGTTTTTTTCAGTGCAACTTAGAGCAACTCCAGGACCTTTTCTATGTTACTTCAGCTACCATTGGTTCTAAAAGACTGTTACAGAAGTGAGGAATTGCAGAAAGAAAACCTTAAGGTTTATGGCACAAAAGCAGGCTGATCTTTCAGTGGCAGAGTAAGCCAACTACAGGGCTGCTTTGTGCTGGCAGTGATCACTGATTTAGATAGACATTTTTATTAAAAACATATTACAAAAAAAAACAAACAGACTTTCAGTTCAGTTAAACTTAAGTTTCCTCTGACAAGGAAACTGGTATTTCTTCTGATGAGACCATCTGCTGTATTGCTCTTTGTTCTAGGATTTGGGAGACCAGCTCTATTCAATTCCTGATCTGGTTTCTAGAAGAGAAGATGTCTTCCCACACTGGAACCAGAACAAGATGAAGGCACTACCCAGTAAAAGCACCTCACAGAATCACTATATATTAATCATGCTGATATTGGGCATCTTGGGGTTGTAGTCAATGTTAGACAACTTTTCAATCAGACTTCTTAGAAAAAATTTTTATAAATATGGAAACTAGACAAATTTGTTTAATTATTTCCAGAGTATGGTACAACTTTTCAAACTTGCAGTAAATCCTTACACACCCCCTTGCATATGTTAGTTTTGCCAATTACATAATAGCTAAATAAGCATAGAAATATTTAATTTGATCACCACCGTCAAGATACTATTTTATGCTGCTCTTAGCGTACTGTCATTCTTTTGATAAAGAAAAGCTCTTAATGGAGATCTAACTCTAGCTCTTCGCTGAAAGTTGGAGAGAAAACATTTTGACACATGTAGGCAATTTATGGATTATAGCAAGGTTTTACTTTGATAAGGAAACCCCTCTTTATAAACTATTGTATGGGAAGTTGTAACAACTTTGGTGAATTCAAGCAAGATTCCTAGCAATACCTAGAGCAGGGCAGATGCGAGTAACGCCATAAGAGGTCTCTCTCCTGCAATACAGCTCAATTCAGGATTACTGCAACCTATTTTAGCCAAGTCTATTCTATTTAAAAGGGCCATCAATTGTGGGAAAGTGTGCCAAATGGTGAGTGTGTGAGGTGGTTTAATATTTACATGTAGGCAGATTGGAACCATCAAATAAACTTAACTCATGACCCACGCAAGATTCAAAATTTACATCTTCAGAGGGAAACATATCAAGTCCCTTTCCTTCTAACCACCTCTTTTCTCTCTCTCTCTCTCACACATGCTATACTGTCATTCAGGTGCAAATTTTCACTTTCCATAAGTAAGATGTGTCATAAAGCCAGTAGAGAACAGAGTGGAAAAAACAGGATTCTTAAGAATGCTGTTGTGTGCATCAGGGAACATACAGAATGAATGCCATGGTACAGCAGCTGTAACATTACATACACGTTACACACTTTATACAAAAGGGAAAATAGTTTAACAGCATAAAGTCATCTTGGCAAGTTTAAGATTTTTTTTCCTCCCAAATGCCTCCTCAGCACTTTAGGATCTCTGAGAACAGTTTAAAGGAGGGAGAGTTGGGGGGGGGGGGAAGAGGAAGGTAATAAAATAAAGAAAAGGCACTTAAACAAAGGACAAAGGCCTGAATCAAGTAACTCTTGGAGGGGTAACAGCCATTTCACCAGAGCTAGGACCAATCAGAACCTACCAACTTTTTTTACAAGCTTCTACAAAATTAAAGTTGCATAAAGTGTTAATTAGCCAGTCATTTACCTACTGCTTTTACCTTCTGGTTCATTTAACAGAAACAGCAAGTGTCCCTATTCTGACCCCACCTAAGTACAAAGCCAGGAACTGGAGACCTGGGTGGAAACCTTCCAGAGCTTAGCTTGACTACAGGTTTTGCTTTTTCCTGCAATTCCATTCCCAAAAAAAGTTCACAACCAAAAATAATAAAAAAGGGACCACTGTGCCTTAAACAATGCACTCAAAGCAAAAAAAAACAAAACCCCAAAACCCAGAAAGCACCACCCCATTTCTAATCCACCCATGGGCAAAACCTATTCCAAAAAAAGAACTGTAAACTAGATTAAAATGCTAATAAATACAGCCAAAAGTTCATTTTATGAATGTAGCAGCAAATGTGGTAAAGTTAGTTGGAGTCCTAAAAGGTGACCCCCAGAGGGTTATGGTTCACACAATTGATGGCAGCTTGGGAGAGTTGCAGGATTTCTCTGCTTTCATGTCCTCATCTCGGACCAAGTGGAGAAGAAGGTGGAGGAAGGGTCAGGTGGCTGGAGTGGTTGAGGGGAACAAGGCCCAGGTGCCTGGCCCCACCCAAAATATGACAGCTTTGACTGGATTCAGACAGGAAGCAGAACTCTGATAATTAGAAGTCACTTCTGATTAGCTGAAAACAGATGTTAAACCCACAGCATCCACACCTGTGACTTGGTTACTCAACAATATTCATTAATCTTCTTGAGCTAAAATGCTGGATGAAATAATGATTTAGGCCATCAACATCCTTCTGGGGGAGAGAACACTGCTATAATGATCCAAATTGATCAGAAGTCTTGCAGCCTGTGCTTCATCTAGCCTGGCTCCTTTCTATACTTTTCAAATCTCGAAGAGGATTTAAAATTGCTATGTCTATTGGGGCTTTGGATCATGTAGCAGAAGGCATTACCCAAAGGGAGTTAACTTCTAAAACCTGTGTTTGAAATTATTGCTTGCATCTGTTTGAGGCTGAGTGAACTTGACATCAGCTCACATTCAGCCCCCAAACCAAAGTTCAGCCCTGCTGCCCAGAAAGACAGCTCTACTGGCTTTCTTATTGCTTGTGAATACTGAGGGTTATTTAATACATACAACAGTTTACATTATATATATATATATTATCAAAGGCCCTTAAAAAGTAGTAAGACTCTTGGGAAAAAAAACAGCTTAAACAAGATGCTGCAGGACGGGTGTTACCTAATTTTGCATCAGGATGTCACAAATATCCTTCACTTTCCATCCTGCTCATGCTCCCCCTCTTTCTGCAAAGATCCTGGGAATCACTCAAGAGTTACTTTTTGACCTGGCTTTGCTGGGTTAAGCAAGTGGAGAATACTTTACTGGTTCCAAAGTAATCCAGGCTGGTAGTGAATGAAAATAGTTATCCTCTGGGTGTAGTTTCAATAGACTATAGGAAGAAAGTTTGTAATCTCCATATTGTTTCCCATCATACTGCCCAAGTCTATAACTCACGCTAACCCGTGTTCTTCCTTGTCAAGACTGCTAACAGGACTAAAACTGAATGGCCCATGGAAACTAAATTACCTTTTACACTCAAGAGATAACCCTCCTGATTAAAGATGAGGCACACTTGAGGTGGGGCAAAGGAAATTTGTGCTGTCACCATCTGTGCTGTTAGGATAAAAGCCTTCAAACTCTAGGACTTCCAACTGTGTACCTTTTATCAGATCTAGAATCTCATGTCAGAATGCAAAAGTGAAGGACAGCAATTTAAATGAGACACCATGATGAAGGAACTACAGAAGAGGGTAGAGCTCTTTTGGGGTAGGGTGGTTGTTTCCACATATTGCTGTATGATAGTTGTCCACTGCAATTCCCCTGCTACATGCATTATTAAAAAGTATGTGATATATTAGACAACTCAGAGTTAATACCTCATCAAAAAATTTCTGGCTTGAAAATGTCTTCTTTCTTTATCCCCTTCTGGGGAAAAAGATAAAACAAAAAGCACAACTTGTATAGTACCTTCTGAATAATTTATGGTATTCTATACTCTGGAGAATTTTCATCTGACTAGGAGGATTCAGGCTATTTTTCACAAAAGTTTTGTGCAAAAACATTTATCATTGGGCTCAACCCAACATTCCTTTTATACTATATACACAATATATTACTTTAAGTTATTGTTTATATATATATATATATATTTATATATAAAATTAAAGTGAGATCTAAGTAGAAAAAATGTTGTCTGGTCTTTGTAAGAAAAATAATTCACGCATGTCAAAGGGAATTGAAAACTAAAAGTTAGTATAGCAAAAAGTATCAAGAGATTTAATATCCAGGGACCAAAGTCTGTACTGGGCAGGTGAGGCAATAAGTAATTACAGGTTCAATCTCAGATCATAACTATGAGAGAGAGAGAGAGGGAGCGCGCGTGTGCATGCATGCACAAAACAGACTAGAAATTTCAGTATCTCTGGTCACAGTGACATTTTAGGTTTGAAAGAGAAAGGGCATCAGATCAGGGACTGATGTTCTAGCTTCAGTGATCCTGAAAACCTTTTTACTCCAATTCCTGCCATGCTTATCTTACCTTTCACAGAAAAAAAAGACACAACAGTAAAGTTTTGACCTAAGAACCTCCTCTGTCCTACTGCTGAAAGTGCAATTTGTGCTGAATATTTCCTAAATGTACAAATGAACCACCCAAGATATTGCTATCCAAAAAGGAAAGCCAGCCTTGCAATCCTGAGTTACCAAGCAGGAAAGAGTTCAGGCCATGAGCTCCCCAGGCCAGCAGGGGCTAGGAATGCTGGAGAGACAATGCATTCAGCCCCAGGAAGAGAAGGCACCCGAGGTCGCTTTTGAACGACTCCTCTTTGGCTAATGCCTGAAGCAGTATTAACTTGTCTCTGAAATAAGTCACATCCAGCTCTCCTTAGCTGATGGGTTACTGTGGTGTGTGGCTTTTGGGAATACTTGTATGAAAGAGGAAGTAAATCCAGAAGATGAGGAATTGACCTTGGGTTTAAAAAGGATGAGAACTGGGTGTTTCTTCACTTTAATAATAGCAGAGAAGCTCAAGGAACCAATTGAAGAAGTGAAGCAAATTTATAAGGGTGGAAAACCAGAGTGTCCATCTTCCAAAAAAAGGTCTGAGAAGAGCTCTCAAGCTAAACGAACAACATTTTTCTTCCTTTTCTGTAAGGAGATATATTCTACCCCGACATACACTCTATTCTATGCTAAAATATCCCAGGGATTACTAGGATCCCCCTTAATTCTTCTCTTGCCTCTCTACCATGAATATCACTTTGAAAGGGAGTTGTCTGGGGATTAATGAAACTGCGTTAGCAGAGGCCCCACAAAACTCAGAGCCTGTATTTGCTACGCTCTTCCAAAGAGGTAATGTTGGACAAACGTTCAAATCAGAAGCTTTGTTTGTATCCATAAGGAAGTTTCTTATTTACTCCACAGACCATCCAAGCAGAAACCACCTCTAGTCTGCAGCCATACAGTATGTTCAGGACTGATGCATACTCTTACTAGCATCCTGCTCTTGCTGAGTGGATGACCCCAGCCCCAAAACTGGATGGAGAAATCTACTCCAGCTTCCCTTGTGCTTCCTCATCACTGGACATTACCCAGAAAGTAAACTTTGTGCCGCTGTGGGTTTGACAACTAACATTTTTTTTAGAGCCAATCAGAGTGGATAAAAAAAGATTGGTTTCTTTACGGCAAAAATCCAACTATGACCAGTCTGCATGACCAGGAAGGACCATCCTCCTTTTCCTTCTCTTTTTGATCAAGTACTGTTTTCTTTTTCTTCTTCTCACCACAGTGCTTGGGATCGGAGTATGTAAACATTGACAAATACAGCAGCCCTGTGACCATGTAAGCACTTTCCCAACTGGGCAAATTCCATCAGCCAATCAGAACTACTTCAGCTCCCTTGTTCATCCAGAAGTCACTGGGTTTTCCGCTGTAGTTTAGTGTCCCCTTTGCTTTGGCCTCCATCTGGGGTTTGGAGAAAACAAGGGGTTGGGGAAGGGTGGGATAAAAGAACAAAGAAAGAGGCATCAAAGTTTCATCTGATTATGAGAGATGCAATATAAAACATCTGCAGTGCAAAATTCTGAACAGCATTTTGAATGGGTTCCCTCCATGTGTGCGTTCCTATAGCCAGTGGGAATATACAATAAGAAAATATGGACTGTATCCTGCAGTAAGTGGACGTGCTTCGTTGTACCGAAGACTGGTAATGTTTTGTTTTAGGCTGCTAAATGACTAAAAAAATTAAACATCCTGTCCATCAATCACAAAGTGTGATGCCTTCATGGGGCAGAGGGCTCCTTTCAGTGACTTACAATTTATTTTATATGAAATAGCACTGAAGAAACTACTCTGTCTGCAAGTAGTAATTATGTTGTCACTGAGAAAGTAAAACATGTGGCCATAAAAATACTGTGGTGTCTTTACTCTTGTACAGCAAGCATAAGAACAGAACTCTGCTACAAATTTTTTAAAACAATTCTATTGAAGATAGGTTGCAAACCTATTTGGAAAACCCAGCTCTATCACCCTAGAACTACATTTGAGCCACACTCCGTGACAAATCCCACAATTTTTTGGTTGAAAAAATCATTCCATATTCATATTGGGTTCACAAACTAAAAAAGAAAGTGGAGAGAACCAGTACTCTAGACCATTCTGCATGCCTCAGCGGGAATAAGATCTTCAGGAATAGCTGACAGTGTTGGATGTAGTGAGGCACTGAAAATATATATATGTAGTTCAAAATAACGAAAACTTCCAAAGGGAAGATCCTGGAGAATGGAAGGGGAAAGAGAAGCCAAGGAACCCTCCCATTTAACTTGCAACTCATAAAGGAAAGTTTACTGGGTAACTTTTTTTTTCATTAGATCACTCATAATACAATTAGCAGTCTTGGATCTTTAGCTTCCAAGGCTATAAAGCATATTTGTTCTAAAATTTTTGACACTCAGGCAATGGTATATGCAATTTGGGCATAAGACCTGCACCATTCTGCTTCAATGTGTATTATTGCAACAGCTCGGTCATCACTTGCCATTAGGACAGCCTTTGCAGTCTTCATCTTCTCCATGGCAAACTCAATCTGATTCCCAGCAAAGAGGCTAGAGTGCATTCCAATCAAGGGCTGAACGGAGAATCTGGCTTTCTGGGGTATGTCTATATGGCACAAGGCAGAGGACATGCACAGATGTCCTGTGGTAGCTCTGCAAATGCCAACTCTTGGTGCCTTGAAATGGTATAGACATCACCAGAGTTTTAGTTTGAAAAAGGAAAGGGGAGTACAATTTCCTTACCTGTATAAGTTTGCTGCAAGTGAGCAGGCAGAGGTGAATGGGACAGCGTCGCTGCATGCTGAGCACCTGGCTGTAAACCCTTCAATAAATCTGAAGGAAGTGAAAGAGACAGAAACAGGAGTTGTGGTTCAAAGGACACTAAATCTCCTTATAGCAAAGGTAGTGGCCTCTAATTTCTTCACCCCTCTGTACTTTTGAAAATAATTAGATACATATCAGAACAAGTTACACTGTTAGAGATAAAATACTTTGGACTGTTTTGTTAACAGAAAAGTCCAATTATCTTCAGCGTTGCCCAGGGCGCAATTCTAATGGGATTTTTTCAATGGAAAAAAAAAGCCAATCCTGTCCTGGCCAATATTCTCTCTTACAGTTAAAAAAAAAAAAAAAAAGCAGTTGCTGCATCATAAGCTCTGTGCAAGCCATTACCAAAAAAGTGTTTGACCAGTTACTGCAAGACCCGAGTACGTCCTGAAATTTGTTTTGTAGAACCTAGAGGATTCTATAATTTGATTCTCTTTTTAAAAAGGAGGGACAAATTAGTATAAGCAGCTGAATTCCATTTAAGCACTATTAAGTTGGTAATACCATCAGTTTTCTAGGAAAGTAGACTGTGATAACATTTGTAGAATCATCTAAAAACTTAACAGATCACACTGTCTCTGCCTTTGAAAAATCATGTTTCCTATAATTATACACACTATAGCTCATTGCCCAAACCAGTTGAGTTACTCAAGCAGTGCTGCTTCTATCACTTCCCTTCCCAGTTTCAGATTGCATGCAGCAAATGATGTAGTTGCCCCTGATTTACACTGCAACATGAATAAACTAGCCACACTTACTCTGAGTTAGGCTGTGGTGGAAAGCCGCTGAGGTAGATCCCGAGGTGGTTGTCACTCCAGCTGTGTCTGCCCCAAAGCCAAGTAGCTCCAAGGGAAACTGGAAGGGAACGGTCACAGGAACAAGGCCACCCAGCATCCCAAAAGGAGTCAATGGTGCAGACGTCACATTCTGATTGGTTACGGACAGTGGTGATGTCATGAGAGTCAGAGGTGAGGCATTTGCCAATAATGATGCTCCTGCTGTTGACTGTACAGAGATAGGGGTTACTTTTAAAAATTATTTTTATAGCCATATTGAAACCAAAACCAAGAACAAAAGGTTAATAAGAGACCACATTCATTTTGTTTATGAATATTTTTGTTAAGAAATTCTTTATAGGTGTTATCAAGGTTTGACCTTTCTCTACATACAATTCAGGCACATTGTTCATCTCCTGTGCTTGCCTTAACATACTGCAGGTTAATCTTCACAACACCATTTCTTCCTAGATATATATTCAGATTGGAAATCAGTTCTAGCAAGAAATTTCCCATTAATTTTTGCATTACTACTTTTAAATTAAAAAAAAAAAAGCTCTAGATTCCTTGGGAGCATGGAAACAGGTTTGGTTTAAAAATAAACCCATCTATCTTAACATGCTACCAGCTTTCTGATTTCATAATAAATGGCTTAAAAGTACATCTCTCAAAAACCAAACCCATTTATTAAAAAAAAAAAAAAAGAGCCCCTTTTCAAGGATAAATGATGATTATGGCTACTTTACTGTGATACCTTAAAAGCATTTCAGAGGAAAGAGACAAGTATTTACAATCAGAAAATGTGATCCCCACCTACTAAGCAGGTATCAAAGTTACATTCCCATTCATTTCATCTCCAAGATGAAAAACAAACTGCAAAGCATTTGGTTGTAATACCTTGCAAATCGCATTATTTTTTAGCTGGTTTACTACTTAAAATACCGGCAGTTGTCCTGCTCATTCACATTAACCTCCTTTCTATTTCAATCTGATACTATTGTTCATTCAAGAGTCAAGGTCATCTCCCCCAACAAATGAAAGAGAAGAGAAAGTCTACTTGAATGGACAATGTGGTTATATTATAGGCATCTGATCCAGATAGACTCAAATGCTGAACAGGACTTGGAAATAGTGAATTTTGGATTACTGACCTTTACTGAAAATCGAGAACTTGAAATCATTTAGAATATTAACTGAAGAGATCAAACTGGAGAAAAAAAAAAATCTTGAATTTTACTACAGACAAAGGAAAAACAAAGCCATGAAAGCTCTTGACAAAAGTTAAAGTATCTGCTTACTGGATCAAAAATTAATAAACAGATAATTTTTAAGAGGTCTATATCTGTAGGGTCAGGGCCAGAGCCACAGCATTCAGTAAAAAGGGGCAGCTAAGGGAGAGAAGGGCACAAGGCACTGTGGTACAAGGAGTCAGGCTACCCATCCCCTCCTTACCTCCTCACACTGCTGCTGATTTCCCTGCCACAGCGAGAGGGGGAATGAATTTAAGATGACCCCCCCCCCCAATAATTTTCCACATATAGAAACTCTGGAAGTCATCTTAAAATTCCAAGCAGTCTTGGATTTAGGTAAAATACAATATCCAAAATCCTCTTTTCATATAGGTGCTTGCAAGCTGCAATAGTCACCTGGATGAAACTTTGTCTTGGACAAACTGAAGACTGAGCTCTAATCTTGCACTATATAAAACAGATTTTCCATACCTAGATTTATTTTTGTAACACTTTTCTGAATTATTTCTAATTTAACAGTCTTTCTGGAACATGGAAGTAAGAAATGAATATAGTATCCCAGTGCTGGTCTCTCATTTATGCCCTCCCCACCCCTTTCCTATTTCTTATGTGCCAACATTTGCATCAGCTCCTAGATATTCTTGCCACAGAGCTCATCTGCAGTTTATTATTCCTCATAACCTTGAAGTTCTTTTCTTAAAAAGTCAGTACTTCAATAAAGTATTTTTCCATTTTATTTGACTTGCATTCTTTATTTCTAGAAGTACTCTCTCTAGGTACCATATCCAAACAGGACATTGGTGACCATAGTTGTCCACAGATCTCTGAGGCATACAGAATTTCCAGAGTTGATGCATTAATCCGTTTAGACAGACTCTTGCCGTAAGTCAACCTCCGTCTTCCATGATCTCTCTTTCCTTCAGTCTTTCTAGTTACAACCAGACTTTCAATTTCCTCTCCTTATAATGGGCCTGAGAAATTCCAACTGTTTCTTTCTGATGTTAATAAGCAGCTTCCTCCTGCAGCCTGCTCTTAAAAAGATATCTTCACTTGAAGTGTGACTTGTCCAACACACCTTCAAGATGCGCATTAAGAACCAGATCTCACTTGTTTTAATTCTCTTTTCCATATTTGATGATATTGTCCAGCATTCTGATGCATACACAAGGACTGGTATAACATAGCAATCCAAAACTCTTAACTTCAGCTCCATAGAAATATTACTATTTCTCAATATCTTATTCATTTTCAGAAGTGCTTCTTTTGTCATCCTTAATCTCCACTTTATTTCATGATCACATTTACCATCTGAAGTTATTCAGCTTCCCAAGTAGTTAAAATTTATTGACCAATCTTATCTGTTCCTTTTCCTTTTTGTCGCTGCATATAGGAATGATCTTCTTTGTAATTACCATGCATTCTGTTTTTCTACAGTTGATACTTAAATCCTTCTTCTCACTTTCACCAATAATTTTATCTAAAATTCCCTGCAGCTTCTCTTCTGAATCAGCTATTAAGACTATTAAGCTAGTCTATTATGCAAAAGTACTACCTGGCATTTAGCTGCCAACACATGTTTGAGTGAACTCAGTTTATGAAGAAGTCCAGATTATTTTATAAAATGAAGCTGACAGTTAATACTCTACCAATTTCAGCATTATCTGCAAACATGACCATAAATTATTTTTTCTCCCATTTCATTGCAAATTAGTTAATGGCATTAGGCAGTGGTGCTCAACCTTCTGGTCCCATAGACTAGATAAGTGCCTCGGGGACAGTTGGTGGGCCAGATAATGCTCCACAAACTAGATTCAGGCCCCATCCCTTCTCTGCTGCCACCCACCAGGATTTGGCCCTAGTGCTGCCCCTGCCTGGCCTGCACACTGGGATTGGGTGCCTAATCCAACACAGAGCCTGGAGCTCATGAGTCTGGAAATATGACAGCAAGTAAATGGTACCACCACTCCCTGCCACCAAGTTTTTGGACCCACCGGGCAGATGACATGGCACTGTGGGCCAGATCCAGCTTGCGAGCTGGGGGTGAGCATCTCTGGCATTAGGCTAACAGATCCTTGTGGGACCTCATTAGAAATACCCCCAGATGATGCAAATTCCTCTTTTACAATTTTGAGATCCATCAATTAAACAGATTTTCAACCTATTTAATGCAAGTAACATTGATTTTACATAGAAACCCCATTATGTTTTTTTTTTAAATGTTACCATAAATGATAAACAAGTAGTGAAAATAAGCTGGGGAAAGAGACACTAGAGATTGGCCATGCAGTTAAAGTGATTCATAGTATTGTGTACATCAAGGAAGTACTGAATTCAAAATAAAGTGCTGTTGTCTCTTCAGTAAAAACTGACATGCTGTTCCAGACAGTGGAAAATAAGGAAGCAAAAGGTGGGACTGGAAGGTGACAAGGACCAAAAAAAGAGGCCAGAATGAAATTGGAGACATTTAGAATACAAAGAAAAGCTTGGGTTTCATACAGAAATACTGAGAGCCAATGCAGACACTAAGAAGGAGACATGACTGAAGAAAAGATTAATTTTAAAAATAACTAGAACAGAAAGACATCAGGATGTGGCAAACTGGAGAGAAAGTGGTAGTAACTATACTGACACTAAAGTCATAACCTTTTCACGTTTTAGGAGAAAGAGCTAATACGCAATATAGTTGAAAGTTCCAATAACAGGATAGGGTATGACAGCAGCCAAGAGGCTATTGGAAGCAAACAAAGTACAACCTGCAAGGTCTTCCAAGAACTCAGATTCCAGCAGAGTTAATTTAACCTGCCCTTTTTTCTGCTGACACAGATAAGCCAAGTAACTGCAGTTTACTATATGCTGATCCTGTGGATTAAACCTAAAATTCAAGGGGGTGGGAGTAGGGTTGTTTTTAGTAATTACACACACACACACACACACACACACTGTACTTTAACAAAAAACTGAGTGAATCAGGTAACTGAGATTTAATATTTATGCCCAACCTGTACATTCACTATATGCATATTTTAGTTGGATTTATAATACTGTACTGATTTATTGTGCAAGCAGCAACATATTGAAAGTATACAGTTGCTTAGGATTGGTAAGCATAATTTTATACACACTTAGTATATTTCTACTGTATTTATAAATCATGCTCTTTTGTCCTCAAGGATCCTATACTTTACAAGTAAAGCCCTGTAGTAAAACACTGAAATACTCCAATTAACAAAATGTGAAAGTTTTTTCTAGGTGGAATTGTAGGACCAGTTTTGGTTTAGGAAGACAGAATTTAATTACTGTTAATAGAATCTGATTAAAGTCACCAGAATTATTACCTCTAATTTTGGGGGAAAAAAACCCCTAAATGGGATCTTCAGTGACAAGTAAAAACATTTCAAATCTCATCTAATTACACAGCCATTTCTTGAAGCAATCTAGGTTTTATTAAACTAGCTCTACTTTGACTTCTACAGATGTAAAGTACAAAGTGCTTCATAGTAAGAATCAGTACCACTTATCCCCATTCCACAGATGCAGAAATGAAGATAAAAGGAAGTAGTTTTCAAAGTGAACCATGGCAAGTCACAACAGGCAGAACAAAAAGATCCCAGGTTTCCCCAAGTCCTAGTCCAAGTGCTCTAGCACTACACTACCACTCAACAAGGATGAAACGTTTCTCCTCCATGTAGATCCCCAGTATAAATTCTGACCAGGTCCAATGGTCCTTGGCTTATGTGTAAACACAGTACACTGGATGGGTTCAGGTCATATGGCAATTTAAAATAAGCAAAGTGCCCATAGTGTACATCCTTAGTGTGATGTGGTATTATCTCCAGGGGTGGCTATAAAGTTCCTGGAGCCAAAAAAACCAACTTTTTACCCTGCACTATGGGCAGGTCACCCCTCTCGCCTGCCATACCTTGATGTCAAATGGTTAATTAAGAATGCAGAAGGCTGTCCTGGTCTTATAGCAATAATC